GACTTTACCTTTACCTTTTTTACTAAAACAAACAAAAAAGAAAATACGGAGGATCACTTATTCAATTATAAATTATCTAGGTTTGGGCTTGATAGAGTCTACGCCTTTATTAAGTATTATTATTTGCTAGAAAAGATAAATGTATAAACAAAAACTTAGAATTTAGAACTAAACTAACTGGAATGGGGGAGGGGAGCAGTAGTTTTGCTTTATGGGGGTTGTCGCTATGTAGGACCACCGCCTTATCTAGGTAAGAGTCATCGATCATAGATTGATCACAAACGGGTATACCCAAATGTGCAGTAACTTCGACTGTGAGAATACATTATGTATAGATTACATATGTCCACTGTGTTTAAAGAGTCAGAAACGCAGTTACGTAATTCTTTCCTACCAGGGCTCAGAATCAGCAACAGGTGATTTACTAGCATTGCTTTATTTTAACAATGGTTCAGAAAGCGATGGCAAACTACTGAACGTGAAATTAGTAAAACCGTAAAATCACAGACAAACAGAAAGTCAGAACATTAGTGGTTGACATATATCTCTCTCTCTCTCTTCCCATCTCTGTATCCCTCCTCTCTCTTCCCATCTCTGTATCCCTCCTCTCTCTTCCCATCACTGTATCCCTCCTCTCTCTTCCCATCTCTGTATCCCTCATCTCTCTTCCCATCTCTGTATCCATCCTCTCTCTTCCCATCACTGTATCCCTCCTCTCTCTTCCCATCACTGTATCCATCCTCTCTTTCCATCTCTGTATCCATCCTCTCTCTTCCCATCTCTGTATCCCTCCTCTGTCTTCCCATCTCTGTATCCCTCCTCTCTTTTCCCATCTCTGTATCCCTCCTCTTTCTTCCCATCTCTGTATCCGTCCTCTCTCTTCCCATCTCTGTATCTCTCCTCTCTCTTCCCATCTCTGTATCCCTCCTCTCTTCCCATCACTGTATCCCTCCTCTCTCTTCCCATCTCTGTATCCCTCCTCTCTCTTCCCATCTCTGTATCCCTCCTCTCTCTTCCCATCTCTGTATCCCTCCTCTCTCTTCCCATCTCGGTATGCCTCCCCTCTCTTCCCATCTCGGTATGCCTCCCCTCTCTTCCCATCTCTGTATCCCTCCTCTCTCTTCCCATCTCTGTATCCCTCCTCTCTCTTCCCATCTCTGTATCCCTCCTCTCTCTTCCCATCTCGGTATCCCTCCTCCCTCTTCCCATCTCTGTATGCCTCCTCTCTCTTCCCATCTCTGTATCCCTCCTCTCTTCCCATCTCTGTATCCCTCCTCTCGCTTGAGTGTATGAAAGTATTTATTCATGCGTGTGCGACTGTAGGTAGAAGTGTGTTTGAATAAATCTGCGTGTGTATGTTTGTGTAAGTATATATATGAGTACTTTTGAGTTTATGTGTGTATGTGAGTGATTGTAGAGGTGTGAGTGTATTTGTGTGCATGTGCGTTTGAGTGAATATGCGTATATGTGTATGTATGAGTGTTTTTGTGGTGATTAGTGCATATATATATCTTTGTACTGACACACATACGCGTGCGCGAACACATACACACAAATGCATACACACACTCACATATATCTATATATATATATATATATATATATATATATATATATATATATATATATATGTATATATATATATGTATATATATGTATATATATATATATATATATATATATATATATATATATATATATATATATATATATATATATATATATATATATATATATATATATATATATGTGAGTGTGTGTATGCATGTGTGTGTGTCAGTACAAAGATATATCTATATTTATGTATATGCAGTGGAACCTCGCTTAACGAGCATAATTCGTTCCAGAATCATACTTGTTAAGCGAAACACTCGTTATGCGAAACAATTTTTCTCATATAAATTAATGTAAAATACGATAATGCGTTCCATGTCAAAACAAAAACAAAAAATACTCACAAAATGCTATGTATAACGTTTATTCAAAGAAAATTATATACATATTAAGGAGAGTGAATCATCTTCATCTTTTTTTTTTTTTTAAAGCGGCACGAACCCACCTGAAATGCGAATTCGATTTGCAGAGAAAAAAGTCGACATAATTATGATACATAGCTAATTTTTTTTTACCAGAAAGATGTCCAAAAACATTTGTTTTTGCCGACGCTTCAAAATTTGGCGAAAATGCGACACAGCATTATCATTAAATAAATTTGCAACGCGCATAACCACTTCCTTATTAGGGTGATGCTTCTCAATGTTAGATGCAACAGTTTCCCATGCTTTCAGCATTTCTCTTATTTCGCCACAAGATTGTTGCTTTTCTGATACCTCCTCCTCTGACAAATTTTCCCCCAAAACTTCTTGTTGTGAAACACAATGCAACTCCATAAGCTCTTGTGTGGTCAGCTCTTGGCTGTGGTCTCCCACAAGCTCTTTGATATCACTGTTATCCACCTGCAATCCCATGATAGTGGCCAAAGACACAATCTCGTTGATTACAGGTTCCACAGGTACTGTCTCGAACCTCTCAAAGTCACAAAATAGACAACACTCTCCCGCCAAAGCTTCTTCCAAGCAGAAGTTAGGGTTTTCTTGGTAACCCCTTCCCCTGCCTTGTCGATCATCTTGAGACAGGCAACGATGTTGAAGTGATTTTTCCAAAACTCTTTGAGAGTGAGATTTATCCCTTCAGTCCCCTGAAAACAATGCTCGAAGAGTGCTTTAGTGTAGAGCTTCTTAAAGTTAGAAATAACTTGTTGGTCCATGAGCTGGAGTAACAGGGTGGTGTTGGGGAGTCAGAAACTGGATCTTGACGAACTTAAATTCTTCAAAGAGGTCACCTTATAGGCCTGGAGTATTCATGTACATATATCACAATATAACACAAGTTTGAAAAAAAATGTGTGATCACAAGCGACACTACGATGCTACTGGAACGAGTGCTAAACACAGACTGATGTAACATGTGCACAGTTCGGGACTTTCCCTCTCCTCGCAACTCGTTATGCGAAACGTCGCTCGTTAAGCAAGTCTTTTTTTTTTTACAATTTGTTTTGCTCGTTATGCGAATTACTCGTTATGCGAGGTGCTCGTTAAGCGAGGTTCCACAGTACATGCAAGTAAGTATATTTAATGCATATATTTGCCATGCTTGCCTTTGTGGATTTACCTTTTACTCGTATGTTGTCCTTGTTATGTGAACATAAATTCTTTGTTGAAAGAAATACACTAGGAATGTGAAAGATGGGAGTCTGAAAGGGTCGAATGTAAGACGGCTTGCGTGCCCAGTTTGTGACCATTAAAATTATGTTGTTCCTTGGCTCGTTCTCTCTCTCTCTCTCTCTCTCTCTCTCTCTCTCTCTCTCTCTCTCTCTCTCTCTCTCTCTCTCATACACAACACACACACGCGCGCGCAACCACACACAAGACATTATGATTCAACCATCTCGGACCTCTGCTGACATAATGAAAATAATCCCAGTTCGATTTAACTACGACCCGACATAATTATCTTAGTTTATTCAAACGGCAGCCGGGAAAAAAAATGGTTGGGAAAGAAGGATACAGCATAATGCCCCACAAGAGGTCACGTCTGCCGGCGCAGAGGTCACACAATGGATCTCAAACAAGGGGACCCTGTTAGTAACAATGGAGAGACTAGCCGATGTGACATGACGATGGTCGGCGTGACAAGGCGGGCGATTGTTCAGATTATCACTTATTCTTTCAAGACCCAGGCAGGCACGGTAGGCTTCGGACAAAGAAACGAATTAGCCAACTAGAATATCAACTGCTGACCCCGTTTTAGTCATATTCCTCTTAAAGTGGATGTTTTTCGCCACTTTTATATTTGCTTAACTATTCCTAATTTCCGAATATTAGAAATCTTGTCGGTGTTCACCAGCGGAAAGTTTTCACTGTTCAACCACTTCTGGACTTGTTCCAAAAGTTAGCTCTGCGTGCATATCCGTTTTACAGGATATATTGACAGTACTTTTTATTATGGATATGCTTTTGTCCTATCTATCTATCTATCTATCTATCTATCTATCTATCTATCTATCTATCTATCTATCTATCTATCTATCTATCTATCTATCTATCTATCTATCTATCTATCTATCTATCTATCTATCTATCTATCTATCTATCTATCTATCTATCTATCTATCTATCTATCTATCTATCTATCTATCTATCTATCTATCTATCTATCTATCTATCTATCTATCTATCTATCTATCTATCTATCTATCTATCTATCTATCTATCTATCTATCTATCTATCTATCTATCTATCTATCTATCTATCTATCTATCTATCTATCTATCTATCTATCTATCTATCTATCTATCTATCTATCTATCTATCTATCTATCTATCTATCTATCTATCTATCTATCTATCTATCTATCTATCTATCTATCTATCTATCTATCTATCTATCTATCTATCTATCTATCTATCTATCTATCTATCTATCTATCTATCTATCTATCTATCTATCTATCTATCTATCTATCTATCTATCTATCTATCTATCTATCTATCTATCTATCTATCTATCTATCTATCTATCTATCTATCTATCTATCTATCTATCTATCTATCTATCTATCTATCTATCTATCTATCTATATCTATCTATCTATCTATCTATCTATCTATCTATCTATCTATCTATCTATCTATCTATCTATCTATCTATCTATCTTGCTATCTATCTTGCTATCTATCTTGCTATCTATCTTGCTATCTATCTTGCTATCTATCTGCTATCTATCTTGCTATCTATCTTGCTATCTATCTGCTATCTATCTGCTATCTATCTGCTATCTATCTGCTATCTATCTATCTATCTATCTATCTATCTATCCATCTCATCCATCTCATCCATCTATTTATCTTATCTGTCTGTCTGTCCCGGGTTCAACACTCGTTAAAGTGATCGAGTTTTTCTGTCAGGGGAATCCTAACTTATTATTTTTATCTTTCAGATGGAAACAGACGCGAGCCAATTCTCAGCGAACATCACTTCTGAGTGCCCAATCTCACCACTGGAGATGAAATTTATGTACATCGAGCAGTTGATGTCTTTGGAGCAGGACTTTTTGAGCTGTATGCATTTTGGAATCAGAAAATACTTGAAGCCACTTCAATATTGCATCCTGACACGCTACGAGCACACGACGTTGTTTACAAACATTGATATGGTGAGTTTCTGTTCAGATCATTTCTTTGTTGCTTGTCTCAGTTGTCTGTGTGGACAGGCGACACAGAATACAGACATGCTGTCTACATGCAGAGATCCTAAGTTTCTTCTTCGCCTTCACCAGCTGTAAACTCTGGCGGAAAGTTCTGGTTGTTCATCCACTTCTGGTCTGCAGTCCTGTTCCAGAACCTGAGTGTTGCGTGTGCATCCGTTTCACAGATCTGACTCATTTGTATGCAGTCTGATGGCTGCTTGTCTCTCAGGCAGATGCACTTTACCTTTAAAGGAAGCTCCCAATTAGTTGACTCTTACAACATGCAAATTTGGGTAGGCAGTGGGTCTATTCTTGCTTTACCTATAACAGGGCCCCGGAACCCACACGGGGAGATCCTAAGTTTGATATTGCAATCGGAGCTGAGCTGTGTGAAACAGTGGAAGACATGCGATGCACCAGCCTTCATAGAATGCCATGGCCTTCTTATCTGAAAATTACTGGCAAGGAGAAAGAAAGAGAAGGCTACCTTAGAAAACACATAAAACAGTTGTTTACAGTCATGTATTTAAAATAAAACTATAATAAGCACAAAAATTAATTTTTAAAAATGCATTTTGGCACAAAGAAATTTATGCTGGAAACAAACTGAAGGCAGGTGAGTAAGAGGGAGACAGTTATACAAGTGACAAGATAACATCGAGACATGGAAACACTGACAACAAGAGATGAATGAATAGCAAGCTGAGAGAGTACAGAGAGAGAGAGAGAGAGAGAGAGAGAGAGAGAGAGAGAGAGAGAGAGAGAGAGAGTGTGTGTGCAGAAAAAGAGAGAGAGAGTGCAGAAAGAGAGAGAGAGAGAGAGAGTGTTAAAGATCCATTGCAGCCAACCAGCTTTGTTGAGACTGCAGACCACAGAATTAACACTTCAAAGATGAGAATCCTATACTTACAAATCCCTGCAAGGCCCATTATTTTGAACCCCTGATGGTTCTAGCGTTTATGAAGTAACCTCAAGTTCAGACTGGGCAAGGACCTTGTGGACATTATCTGATCTGTCTGATGATGTATCCCTTATGTAATAAAAATTCTCAGACTTTTTCTTCATCTTCTTCTTCATTCGTTTGTTTGAAATAGAGGATCTATATCTGTGATGTTGTCTCTAGTATGAACTTCACTGTCTGTTGTAATCCAATCAGTTAGCTGTAAATTCTTACAAGATTTTCATGTTGACCTTACATTAACCGGAGTCGCCATGGCGGAGCGGCTAGACGCGCACCATGGATCAGAAGGTCGTGGGCTCGCTCCCTGGCTGAGCCAGACTTTTTTAAAACAGAAATGACCTTGGCTGTGAATGAAAATGACCCAGGTCGACTCATCCTTGAGTGGGTACCGGGTGCCGTCCCGGGAAGTAGAGGCAGCCAGCGTAATGCTGACCACATCACCCATCTTGTGCTGTTGGTCTATAAAAATATAGGTCTAGCTCTATATGCCCTATACGCCTAAAAGCGTAGAAAAGGGTCCTGTACTTTTACTTTTACTCACATTAACCTGCTTGCTTATATTGCTAATTCATGTTTCAGCTGGCCAGGTTCTCAAAAGCCAACCTCAAATCCATGCGGGACAATGCAGCACCTGATGATTCCCAAACCAGCGAGGATCAGCACATGATGTTGTATCTACCAGCCACTGTTTATGAGCTAGAGGTAAATATCATCATCATCATCATCATCATCGGCACTTCATCTGCTAATAGAGCTTAGGCCCTCAACCAGCTGACGCCAAGTCATCATATCATTTGCAGATGCATACAGCTCATCCAATGCCCTCCTTGTCTTTTTAACTTTGCCCTCTAGCTTCTTTCTCCAGAGGTTAGTTACATATCCTTCACAGGACGTTGCAGAACCAACCCTAGCAGACGTTGCAGAACCAACCCTAGCAGCCCCTGGCTGTTGTGTGGTTTCTCTAGGCAAATTTACGTCCAGTAGTTTGCCATTGCTTGCTGGATGGTCAGCTTTCTTGATACCACTGTCGAAACCAACCCCATTCACCCTGGAGTATTGGTACTAGTGTTGCTACTGTTCTTTGACAGAAAACATCTAGATCTGGATGTAAAACATCCAAGGTGGTAGCACTGATTGAGACTAGTCCCATATGTTTAAGAGACCAAGAACCGAGGGTCAGTATAATGCTGACTGCATTTAATTACTGAAATCTTTCATTGTGCCCAATTTAGACCTGGCATATAATGCCTTTTAGTATTGCCAAAATATTTTACTGCCCCCACCCTCTCTCTCTCTCCCCCCCCCCCCCTCGCCCCCCCCCCTTTTTTTTTTACCTTCTTCTCTCCAGCAGTTTCCCCATTCCTAGTCTTTTCAGAAACTCTGCATTTAATTTCCAACCCAGGAAATTCATCCTATTTTTCTGAACATCCACATCTCAGTTTCAGAGAGACTGTTTGACCTGAAGGGCATTCAGTGATATACAATCACCTTTCTCTATTTGTCTTTAAAGCCTACCACCTTTTTGCGGTTAATGAGAATTTATTATTACATTCGTGAGTATGTTAAGACACACAAACATTTTTTGGAATTTGTTTGAAATAATTAAACCTGGTATTGTTGAATCAGTACTTTTGTAGAGATCAATTAGCAACACAGCGATTACTCTGCAGTCAAATTATGGCAAACATACCACGTGACAACTCAGAATAAAACTCACCTAAAGTTTGTAGTGGTCATTCCACATAAAACATCAGCCACAGAAAGGACCCCTTTTTTAATTTATAGCAGTGGGCATCCGGCATATGATGCCAAACTCTTATAGACCAGTCAACATCAGTGGGAGGGGGGAGGGGGGGGTGGTATCACACAATCTGCCTTTACTACCTAGGAACATTACCAGGCGCTCATTTAGTTAGCTCCTTTCTTTGAAGTCAGAGTGCACCTGCTTAAGAGTGAGGAACCAACAGTCTGCATACACATAAATCAGATCTGTAAAATAACATGTGTGTGCAAAACTTGAGTTTTGGAACGAGACCAGAGGTGGACAGAGTAGTACTTTTCACCAGAGTTCATAGCCGGTGAATGCAAAGAAGAGAAAAAGAGGCTGGATCAACCTTGTATCTGAAAAAGACAAATCTGCCACGATACAAATTTAAACTTAAGACATTCAGGCCATTGAGTTAGGGCAGCTTCCAAATATTTCTGTAACCACTTGTAATCACATGTCATGTTCTGCTGATTTCAGATTCAGAAGCAGTGTAAAGCATATCAGCTTTATGGCAAGCAACTGGAAATGTCAAACAAACTTCTGAAGGAACTCAATCAGAACAAAAGCTTCCGGGATTTTGTCAAGTCACAGCATACTACAGGCGAGCATTGCAGAAGTCAGCCATCTGAACAATGTCCATCAATTCAGGAGTTCATCAATAGGCCGGCACTGGTACGAAGAATCTTTTGTATTTTTCTGTTTTTGTTTGATTGTTTGGTGCTTCATGTCAGGAAGTTAGTCATGATTAATGTACAAAATTATTGATTATACAAAAATTTTTTTTGGACTCCATCAATCAGATGCTGTTTTCACAATGAGGTTTGTCTGTAATGATCCCTACCCTGCTGTCTCAGAACCTCTGTATTTGATTGTAAATCTCCATCTGGATTCCGAGGCGACATTTTGGGGGAAAAGAGCGGCACCCTCTCCCCCCAACCAACATGTACTTAAAGCCAACTAAAGAGGTGTGTTTCCTTTGAAGATGGAGTATATCCACGTGAAAGCCAAGGAACCAACAGTCTGCATACAAAAAATACTAGGTTTTACCTGTTGGCATTAAAATGAAAACCAGACTGTATGTAACAGTGGAAGAAATGCATGGTACTACAAACTTCACAGACCGGTGATCTTCTCATCTGAAAACCACAGGCAAGAACAACACAGCATGTGGAACATTCCCATAAATGCTGCATTTTCGTCTTTAACAGCCGCTCTTGAGTTATCATTCTGATGAACTTACTAACTTAGACACTCCTCAACTTGGGATGTAGAGTTTTGCAGAGAGATCGCCAGATGTCTCTGTCAAAATAAAACCATGCAAATCTGATGAAACCATTAGCAATCTGATTTTTAGGGCGAAGTGGTGAAGCCATTTGCCTAGCGCTTTGAAGGTAGTGAGTTTGTTTAACGGCTGTATCGCTCAGTTCCCGATTGCAATTTTTTGGTGATCCTGGGGATCATCAGCGGAGCTATGAGATTTGTGCTGTGTATGATGCTTTTGGCAGGCAGGCAGCAAGCTGTTCTGTGGAGGTAAACCAAGCCACATAGGATAGAGCCCGATGCAATGAAGTTGATCCTCTCTAGACTTTAACCCTTTTTTTAGTTTTCAAAAACTGTATGTGTTACACATGGAACAAACATTTTATTTTTGTTTATTTTTGTCTACAGCACATTCAGCAGTTGTACACAGCACTGCATAACATCCTGTCAGTGACACCCAGAGACAGCCATGATGCACCCCTTCTTGTCAGAGTTACCGATGCCATTTTCAAGTGTATTAAAAAGATGAAACTCAAGTACTGAATATAATGGTTCTGATGTCAACTGTTTGATAACAGCCCTAGATGATCGTATTGTATATCAGTTTCTTATATAGACATCGGGCCTGTGCAAGTTAAAGGAAACATCTTTGTTCATCTGGCAGTCAGAAATAGGACAGTGATTGCCCTCATTGTTGATGAACATTCAAGCTCTGTTGGGTCAGCCACATAAAGAAACCTATTATTCCTGATGACCAGTCAGCCTATGTTAACCAGGAGACAACTCTGAGGAACAGTCACCCTTTGTGGAGCAATGGTTAACCACGAGTGCAAAGATCCCTCCCATTCTTGATAACCAGTCAACTTTTGTTGGACAATATTTAGCTATGCAGAAAGACATAGACACCTCTCATTCATGATGATCAGTCTATCTGTGTTGGGCTTGGGCAATGGTCAACTATGTAAAGACATGTAAAGACACTTTCCATTCTTGATGACCAATCAACTGTTGCTGGATAGTTGTTGACCGTACAAAGACAACTAATTTTTGATGAGTAGTCAACCTTTGTGGGCCAATGTTCAAACATCTGAATTTGTGAAATTTTGGACTGGATTACGATGCAGTTCTTAAGTTAATTTTGTTCTTTATTTTTGTTTTTTCCTGATATTTTTGAATTCTCTATCTTTTATCTGATATCATGTCTATGTTCTGTCTTAACTTTGTAATAGGAATTACTTTTATAATTCTTCTAAAGCTCTAACTTTCTGTAAGTTTAATATCTTGTCTACAGATTTTTTTTCAAGCATTACCAATCTTGGCAGTATTCTCTATTGTTTCCTGCCTATAGCTTTTCTATCTTATATATGGCTTTAATGTCATGTATATAGTTTTACTGTCGTGTAAAAAGATATTATGTCATGTACATAGCTTTCATGTCACATGTATAGATTTTCTTTCTATTTACTTTTCTAAATATTACTTTCTTAACTTAACCTTACCTAAATTTAAAGTGCTTTTTCTTGTCACCTCTTTTTTACTTCTCTTAATTTTACTGCTGTTATCTTACCCTTACTTTTCTAAACAATTTTTGTTTTCAAGTTTCCTAAAAATGAACTGTTGTTTTTAACTTGTGGTCTGTTATTAATTTTACTTTTCATTCTTAACTTCACTGCCATTTCATTACCTTTTGTTTTTCTGCTTTTTACTTTCTCACTCTTGAATTCTAAAATAATTTTTTTAGCTCTGATATCACATTTATAACTGCCCTTTAGCTGTCTAGTGTTCTGTATATACTGTAACTATACTAGCATTAATAATTTACTGAAATGTCATTGAATTTTAGTCTTGTCAAATGCTTGAATTGCAGCTGCTGGGCTGATTAAATAAAAATTTTTACATTCTTCCCCTCATTCTGATATATGGCTGTTATAATTTATAATATGTCCTATTTATAACAAAACTGTCAGATTTATCTGCAAACTGTAAATAGCTGTATATTATTTTTTAATGTTTTATATTTTTCCGAAAGCAGAAGCTTACTCTTTTAAGTAGAAAACATCAGTTTCGAGCAAACATTCTATCTTTTTGAAAACAGAAAAAGCATCTTTCAAACAGGTACTTCATAGTTCATACAGAAATATCTTTTTTGAAACAAATGTCTGATTTCAAGCAGAAATGTCAAATTTCTAATAAAGATTACCTATTTTAAATATAAAAGTCCTTTGTTTAGTAGAAACTTCCTTTAGCAAGCAGAAGCTTGCTCTTTCAACAATTCTTGCTGATCTAAATTTGTCATAACTGTTTATTTGTCTGCTGATATTATTGTCTTTATTTATAAAACTAGTCTTTAACATCTGTCACATTTTGTTCCCTGTCTTGCTGAGTTATTGGTATTCAGAGCAAAGTCATTTTGTATTTGTAGGTTTTAATAGATTTTTTTTGAACTGCATTGTCAAACTTAATGCTCCAGGGCTTGATTTATGTCAAGCAATTTTTCATAGTGTGAAACAACCTTTTTCCAGAAGTGTACATTCAACGGAGTCTCAGTTTTTGAGTTAAGAACTGGCACCACAGAACTCAGGATATTCCAAGAAGCACTCAATCCCCATCTTCAGCAGTAGCCTTAGAGTATCAATCATGACTGATTCTTTGAAAATCATTGTCGAAACATTTTGGAGTCTTCCTATGAACGAATGCTAACCGAAGACATTGTTAGTTTGTAACAATATACACATGGATGCATGACTGAGTCTAAGTCTGGCATGGAAGAATATATGAGGGGCCTGGTGCTGTACATTTACAGACATTGGGCTTTTGGAACGATTAGTGTCTTAACATTGAAAAACTTGTGTGCTGTCTTTCCAGTGGTGGATGGTATGTACATATGATCTGCATATAAATTTTAACAATGCAAAATGTTAATAAAACATACATTTTAAGACTTTTCTAAAATTCTTTCTTTTGTGTTTTAGGTCAAATATTGTGAGAACTTAATTCTTAATACATTGCATTTTTTTTTTTTTAAATTATGGTTTGGTTTGAACAACAAATCAACATCATGGCACAAGGATAGTAACCCATAAGTACTCCGTTTTACTTCTAACTCAAGCCTGAGTCTTATAATATCAGCACAGTGCACGAACTCCGTAGCATCACACTTTGCCCGGAAAGTGCAGTCAGGCTACTCTTTTTTTATTTCCAACTGCCAAGGAATTTTTAAACGTGTGCAACAATACACACGGGTGTCCGAACTTATTACCCAGATTTCAGGGAAAATTACTATAAGTCCACATGAAAGAAATTCCAGCCTTGACTGGGGCCTGAACCGGGACGTCCAGCATTCGAGGCAGACGCCATGCCTCAAGACCACGCAGCTGCCTTGTTACGCATCAAGTCACCACCTAGTACCAGCCAGTCTTGTCTCCTGTTCCTTTTCCAACACACCTGTATCGTCTAGAGAAAATATCCAACAAAGAATTTGTGTTTAAACATTGTAAAACTGAGTACACCCAGAAAAACAAACAACCATGAGCATGAATAATATTACCAGTGGTTCTACTGATGCAGATCTGGTTTATAGCTGTCAACGATTTCATAATACTGATCCTGGATTATACAGAGCTAAGGTCTTCCCTACCAGGCAATAATATACACAATAAATTAATTTGCTATTCCTTGTGTGTATTCCTGTGCCAGTGGTCGGAGAACTCTTTAGTTGAAAAAGCAAAAAAAAATCAGCAGCCGGACGATAAAAAAAATGAGAGCCACTTTTATTTTTAAAGAATCTGTCAAGAACCATGTTCTTCAGAGTCCGAACCGATTTGTGGCCGACTGGCCGAGCCACACTGAAGTCGCTAAAGAGCCGAGATTTGCCGACCACTGGCCCATACGCAGTTTTGGTTGTGCAAGAATAAAGGGCAGTAAATGCAGAGGATATCGAATATCTTGTAATTTATAGCCACGATCATCTCCCCTTTTCTTTACCAATTGATACCACCGTCTCTCCAATTCCCTGACTCAAGTCTCATGGGCTCACTGTAACACTCTTGCTTTCATTCCTTTTTTTTCCTCCTCCAATTCTCCCTTCCTTCCCATATTGCTTGAAATCGCCCATCCTCCCTCCTTCTATTTATCCACCCTGTTTCTTCCCAGGGGTATTTACCTCTATTTTCCCGCGACAGGCTGTAGACTCCGTCTGAAGGTTTCTAGTTGTGTGTCTACTTCTGGTCTATAGTGCTGTTCCAGAACGTGAATGTTGAATGCACATCCCTTTCACAATATCTGTTTACTTCTCGTCTTTTTTGGGACGACATTTTTCGTTGTTTGAAGCCCTACTCTGGCTATTGCTGGGGGCCGCAATATAGTAAGGCCATAAATATGGCCTAAAGGCTAAACGCGGTTTCTGGGACCTCCCCACGGTGATCCTCACTCGCATGGTGGCACATTGTGTCATCGAGTGTTTATCGCTTATGTGATGTCCTGGTAGGGTAGAAAGTCAGTCAGTCAGTCGACATCCCTTTCACAGATCTAATTCATTTGTATGAGACTGCTGATCCTCACTCGCATGGTGGCACATTGTGTCATCGAGTGTTTATCGCTTATGTGATGTCCTGGTAGGGTAGAAAGTCAGTCAGTCAGTCGACATCCCTTTCACAGATCTAATTCATTTGTATGAGACTGCTGGTTCCTTGCATCTCAAGCAGATGCACTACGACTTCGAATGAAGCACACACTTAGTCGAATCTTACGACATGCTTCTAGGTAGGCAGTGGATCTGTTTTTGTTCCATCTTACCTCCCCCACAGTGGGGCCCGGAACCTACACAAATGAGGTTGATATAGAGCAGCGGTTCTCAACCTGGGGATCGCGACCCTTTTAGAAAGGTCGCCTAACACCGTCGGAAAAAAAATATTGATTGAAGTTATGAAGTAGCAACAACATGAGGAACTGTATAACGGATCGCCACAACATAATGAACTGTATTAAAGGGTCGCTGCATTAAAAAGGTTTAGAACCACTGCTATAGAGAATTTAAACACAAAACTAGCTGCCAGAGAGCTCACCGACCAATCTTCTTCATCAGATAAAACAGCATACTAATCAGTTAAGTTGAGTTGATTCAATAACCAACATAACAGAACTCGGGACATTCCCATAAGCGCTCCGTCCTTATATCCAGCAGCCAACACAGAGTTCCAATACCAATAGTGTCATTAGCAGTCTGATTATACGTCCGTCTTGCCTTTCCAATGAACGGCGAGTAGCGAAAATAGCCTCGTCACTCCTTTCTGTGACACTCTCACCAGACAGCGATGATCAGCTTTCTGTTCCAAATTGTAAACGTACTTAAAAACGGCCTTAACCACGTCAGCCTTATCATGTATCAGTATTCCAACAAGTTTTGCAGAGCCAACCAATCTGTCCGCCACTTCATTTCCCAATACAGCGGCATAACCAGAGAAAATATCCAGACAATACTCTTCACCCTTGACCTCCGAAGCAAAGCATAAATATCTGCACGAGGCATACATGTCTTCACCGTCTTCAACATGTTTTCTGAGATAGTTACAATGTGTGTGTGTGTACGTGTGTGTGTGTGTGTGTGTGTGTGTGTGTATGTATTTGTGTATGTGTGTGGTGTATGTGTGTGTATGTGTATGTGTGTTTACGTGTGTGTGTGTATATATGTGTGTATGTGTGATGTGTATGTATGTGTGTATTTGTGTATATGTGTGTATGTGTATGTGTGTATATGTGTGTGTATGTATGTGTGTATATGTGTGTATGTATGTATGTGTGTGTGTATGAGTGTGTATGTGTGAATGTATGTATGTGTGTGTATGAGTATATATGTGGGTGTGTGTGGGTGTAAATTGTTCTCCAGCCAGCGGAAAACCGCAGTGACCGCCTCCACCTCTATTCTCAAACTGGATGTCCTGATATCAAATGCTACTCCTCCCCTGAACCAAATATCGACAATTAGCTTTTGCTAAGAACCCATATATACTTGATTTGCTCCCTGACGACACTGAACCACCCCAATCAATTATCACATCACCCGAGCAAGTCTTATCTTGAATTAATTGCTACATGTCTACCTCCGTTGCCCCTGCTGGCCATTCCATACTCACCAAACAATCGAAAAGATGAAGGCATGAAAACGTACTTTTCCCTCCACTGTTTTCTAGTCATAATTGTGTTGTATTTAGCTCATTCTAACCACACACAGTCTGTAGAATCAGCTTAAATGTTGTTATTCTGTTTACGTCATCCATTTTGGAGGTTGGTATGATTGCTGGTCAAGTACAACGTTGTAAAAAATATAATCTCCATGGACGCTGATGTTTGAAAATTGAAAATGGCGCCTGCAAAAAGAAAGTAAGCCCTTTGTGTGTGTGTTTGTTTTTAAATAACATTATTGTTAGGTGTTGCAGTTTTTGTTGTATTTGCTGACGTTTTTCTCCACTTTGTCATCCTTTTCCTCCTTCCAATTCTTTGTCTCCTTCTTTTTCGTCGTATTTGTTCCATCATGATCAAGAAATGTTCACTGCTGCTGCTGCGACTGCTACTACTACCACTACCATCAGTACGGCAACCACTATAGCTACCACAACTAGCACCAGTGCGACTAATACCATCACATCCTACTTACAGTAGTAAAAGTTAAAGTAAAGGTCCCCTTTTCACGCCTTTAGGCGTATTGGGCTGTATGTATGACTGTAACTAGGGTCATTATAATGGCTTGGTACTCAAAAGTTCACACACATATGTATTCTTAGTGACTCGATAAATATGCTTCCAAGCTAGATTTACCAGGCAATAATGGATTGCAACACTAAGCTCATCACGAATATCTGCCCTAACCTTCATCTTTGTGCACGGTCATGGGGATGTTCGAGGGAACGAGCATGCAGACTATCTTGCTGACACTGCGGTTGCTTTGGCTGGCCCAGTAATGGACATAAGTGATGTTATCAATTCCATGCGCTGCACTTACCATACCGAGGAGCACACCAAAGGACATGACTTTGTATCTTTGTCTAGACTGATGGACATGGGGGTGCAGCCTGGAGCTGCAAGAAATGAACATTTCACCAAGGGAACAAGACGGTTCATTAACCAACACAGAACAGGCGTCATTAGTTGTTACACACTTGTGAAGCTTTTGAGGAGGAGATCGAAGCATCTATGGATCTGTCCTTTCTAATCACTAATCACTAATCACTAATCACTAATCACTAGGCGTATTAGGAATATAGGGCTAGATCTGTAGTTTAATAGACCAATCGGCACTTGGTGGGTGATATGGTCAAAATAACACCGACCGCCTTTACTTCCCATGTGTGCACCTGGTACCCACTCGAGGCTTGGCCGAATTAGGAGGTCATTTAAAAAAAAAAGTCCTACTCCGTCAGAACGTGAACCCACGACCTTCTGATCTACAATCTACCAAAGTGCTGAGCAACTGTTGCTTGAAAAAAAAAAAAAAAAGAAGCCGGTACGGATTCCCGAAACAAAACAAAAAGACTTATTTACAATGGGTAAACATTTTCAGTACTCCCAGTGTGGGTTCTGGGCCTTGTTATAGGGAAAACAAAAATAGACCCACTGCCTACCCAAAAGCATGTCGTAAGAGTCGACTAATTTGGAGCTTCCTTCGAAGTCAGAATGCATCTGCCTGAGAGGCAAGGAACCAATTGACTGCATACAAATTAGTCAGATCTATCAAACGGATGCACACGCAACACTCAGGTTCTGGAAGAGGACTGCAGTCCAGAAGTGGACGAACAGCTAGAACTTTCCGCCAGAATTTACAGCTAGTGAACCCGAAGAAGAAGAATTTCAGTACCAGGCTCTAATAGTTGCTGGCACCTTCCAGTCTTTCTGGGCGATAGTATAATGTTCTGCTGAGAGCACGCATGGGACTCACAGACCACGGCGATGGCGAGTGTAACTAGCAAGACCCGCCTACGTTAAGAAAAGTCTTCCACAATTCAAGCATGGGATTTCAGGACCGTTGTTGCCACGATGTGTATTTAGCGTGTTTCTTTTCAGATTCACAGGGCTCATCCTTTCTGGAATAATCTTTTTCCTTCTTTCTCATTCCCTTCCGATTTTCCTTCCTCCACGAACACTGTCCGTGTGGCATTTTGTTCCTGCGAGTCCACCTCAGTACCTGTATCATTCATGTCCAGCTTTCACACATCTTTACATTGTAGAAGTGGCCAGTTTCGACATCTTCTACCACACATGATGTCCTCAGGGACTTGTTATTCCATCTGTTTATACCGCGAGAAGTTCTAACTGAAAGTAGCCAATAATACAGTCCAAAGATGTCAAAAGCCAATGCTATGGAAACGAAGGGGAAAAACTAAATATTTGCACAAATGCGTGTTGAGTGTTAAGCTTAAAAGTGACATTACAGCACTGGGGTATTTTTATAAGCATTTGGTTCTCCTCCCCAGGAGCCAGCGAAGACTTCCAGTTTGGGTGGTTCCAGTAGACGTTTGATTATGTGTCCGTCTTTGCTTCCCTCTGAGTGTAGAGTTTCGACCAGATCCACTGGTCACCCATAGCTGTACCATTCTCTCCAGACACTAATGATGTATTGATGACTCTGCATTGCTCCTAAAAAGACATCGACATCGTCTAGCTTGGCATGCATAAATTCACCACCCATTGGTGCAGAATCAGCCACTATATATGCCTGTTAATTTCCCAGCACTCCTGTAGGCCTTAAAATATCCAAAGGGCGCTAACTTTGCGGAACCTCTGAAGCGAAGGTTGCAATCAGCGAGGAGCCTGCCACATGACTTGACTTGACTTTCTACCCCACCAGGACATCACACAAGCGATAAACACCCGATGACACAAAGTGCCACCATGCGGATGAGGATCGCCGTGGAGAGGTCCCAGAAACCGCGTTCAGACAATTGGCCATATTTATGGCCTGCCTATATTGCAGCCCCTGGCAAAAGCCAGGGTGGGGCTTCAAATAAAAAAAATTTCGTCCTTAATAGGACGAAACTAGATATAAGTATGCCTGCCACATAGAATAATCTAATTCAATAGCCGTCTGTGATATTAAAAAGTACTGTGGACTACAATTGCAAGCACAGTGAGTTGTGTAGTTCAGAAAGAGTTGGACACCGTGATCCTGGTCTGGCCTATGCGAATGTGTGTGTGTGTGTAATATATATATATATATATATATATATATATATATATATATATATATATATATATATATATATATATATATATATATTTATAACACTGATTTTTATTAACACTTTCCCGTTTATAATTTCAGGGGATGTAATTCTACTCATGTTATTGCCTGGTCAGTTGTATCGCAATTTAACTTTAACTCTTTGATTAAGTGCCGTTTGAACCCAGACAACTTTGTTGGTAGGTCAGTGAACTAACAATGGCTTGACAGTCAGATTGTTTCCCACAACACACACACACACACACACATCCCCATACGTTTGTTTGTGTGTGTGTGCATGTGTATGTGTTTGTGTATGTATGTGTGTGTGCAGTATTTCTGGTTGTAATCTTGCCCAACTGTTACAGCTGTGCGGCATTCGTGTACTGTAGAGAGCACCCAGACGTCCCATTGTTGGAAGATTACCACGCCGGGGACATGATCTGCCCTCTGTGTGGTTTGGTTGTCGGTGACAGGTCAGATTTTTACTGCTGTTAAATTTTTTTTTTTTGGGGGGGGGGGGGAGGGGAGGGGGGGGCGGAGGGGGGAGGGTTTAATATGTGTTGTTTTAATGAGCTTTTAATGGTGACGAGATGTGTGCATGTTTTGATTATCTTTTTATTGTGACGAGATGTGTGCTTGTTTAGATGATCATTTAATGGTGACGAGATGTGTGCATAATTTGATGATCTTTTAATGGTGACGAGATGTGTGCATAATTTGATGATCTTTAAATGGTGACGAGATGTGTGCCTGTTTAGATGATCTTTTAATGGTGACAAGATGTGTGTCTCTTTAGATGATCTTTTAATGGTGACGAGATGTGTGCCTGTTTAGATGATCTTTTAGTGGTGACGAGATGTGTGCATGTTTAGATGATTTTTTAATGGTGACGAGATGTGGGCCTGTTTAAACCGAGCACTGGGTTTTAAGGTTTGAACAACGGATCCATATTATGACATACTGGTAGTAACCCATAAGTGCTCTGTTCTTCTTTAATCTCGTCTGAGTCCTAAGAAGCTTTGCTCAGGCTCTGTAGCACCGGCGAAGATCCTGAAATATTCTTGGTAGATTTTTAACTCCAATTTTGCCCGGGCAGCGCCGTTAGGCTAATCTCTTCGATTCCCAACTGCCAAGGGATTTTTTAAATGCGCAACAATGCACACAGGCGTCTGATCTCACTACCCAGATAACCAGGGGGGAAAACTAGTCTACGTGAAAAAATCTCATCCTTCACCGGGGGTTGAACCCAGAACCTCAAGCACTCGAGGCAGACACTTTGCCTCGAGGCCACGCATCCCCCTAGAGCACTGGGGGACACCTGCTGTTTTGGTTGTTGCTGGAGGTTTGTTGTGAATTTCTAGATAAGCTATGTCGTGTTCATGCTAGCTGCTGTGATGTAGAGGCTAGGCGTGTGCTTGCGGATCCGAAGGTCTTGGGCTCCAATCCGAACCAATTTTTACTCTCTTAAAAATGAACTTGGTTATCCGGTAGACAACGTCGTAAATGGGTTCAAGGTAAAGTCCTGGGAAGTAAAGGCGACCGGCGTGATTTTGACCATATCGCCCATCGAATGTCGATTGGTCTATAAAATATACACTAGCCAGCCAATTGTGCTGTCCTCGTAACGACATGGCCTCTGCAGATGTGAGTTTCTGTAACTCTCGTGCACAAACGTAGAAGAAAGAAAGAAAGAATCAAAATAAGAAGAAGAAGATCAAGAAGAAGAAAAGAAAGAAAGAAAGAAAGAAAGACAGACAGACGAAGAAGAATATGATGATGATGATGATGATGATAATAATGATGATGATGATGATGATGATGATGATGATGATGATGATAATGATGATGATGATGATGATGATGATGATGATATGATGATGATGATGATATGATGATGATGATGATGATGATGATAATGATGATGATGATGATGATGATGATGATGATGATGATGATGATGATGATGATGATGATGACGACGACAGGTGATGAAATGGATGCAGAGTGTAAGTCGGCAAAGACATAAATAAAAATAAAAACAAAAAGTACAACAATTGTGGTGTCCGTAGTAAACAATTCAGCAAACCGTCTCTACTCAAGGACTATGCAACGTAACAGAAAAGAAAAAAAAAAGAAAGCATAATTTTAATGCTGTTTTTATTGGATTTGTTGCTCAGATCTTCTTCTTCTTCTTCACGTTCACCAGCTATAAACTCTGGCGGAAGGTTCTGGTTGCTCGTCCACTACTGAACTGCAGTCCTGCTCCAGAACCTGAGTGTTGCGTGTGCATCAGTTTTACAGATCTCATTCTCTTGAATACAGACTGTTGGTTCCTTGCCTCTCCGGCAGATGCACTCCGACTTCAAAGGAAGCTTCCCAATTAGTCGACTCTTACGACATGCTTTTGGGGAGGCAGTGGGTCTATTCTTGTTTTCCCCACCATGGGGCCCCGAAACCCACACGGGGGTGCTCAGATCTGTAGTTTATGGACAAACAAATTGACTTAAAGGGGAAAATAAGGTTTTCGAACTTGCAGGAGAAAGAAAGTTTAGCAGCACAGTCGTAATAGGCGGATTGTGCTGCCTAAAGTGGATACCAGAGTGTGTCCTGGGAAGGAAAGACAATCGGTGTGATGTTGACGGCATCATCAATCGAGCGTCAATTGATCTACACAAATGTAGGTGTCTGGAATTACATGCCAGACGGGCCAAAGGCGTGAGAAATGTCATTTGCTTACTAACTTACATAAAATCATAGTGGAGATTCTTTCGCAACAGATCGTGAGAAAAAGGGCTCTACAAAAATCTTACCCCAAACAGACGCAAAATGTGTTCAGTGTTAAGCGATCTGAACACCAAAGTACTGGACTTCAAATCCAGACTAAGTGTTGCACTGTATTTGTAAACAACAACAAAACTGCCCAAGCTGATCGTTTTGCCCTCAGAGTCGTTGATGTAATTAGTGCCCCCCCCCCCCACCCAGAGTCGTTGATGTAATTTGTGTTCCCCTCCCCCCCCCCCCCCCAGAGTCGTTAATGTAATTTGTGTTTTCCCCCCAGAGTCGTTGATGTAATTTGTGTTCCCCTCCCCCCCCCCCCCAGAGTCGTTAATGTAATTTGTGTTTTCCCCCCAGAGTCGTTGATGTAATTTGTGTCTCTCCCCCCCCCCCCCCCCCCCCCCCGAGTCGTTGATGTAATTTGTGTTTTACCACCCAGAGTCGTTGATATAATTTGTGTTTTACCCCCCAGAGTCGTTGATGTCATTTGTGTTTTCTCCCTCAGAGTCGTTGATGTAATTTGTGTTTTACCCCCCAGAGTCGTTGATGTAATTTGTGTTTTACCCCCCAGAGTCGTTGATGTAATTTGTGTTTTCCCCCCAGAGTCGTTGATGTCATTTGTGTTTTCTCCCTCAAAGTCGTTGATGTAATTTGTGTTTTCCCCCTCAGAGTCGTTGATGTAATTTGTGTTTTCCCCCTCAGAATCGTTGATGTAATTTGTGTTTTCCCCCCAGAGTCGTTGATGTGGGCTCTGAGTGGAGAATATTTAGAGATGCAGAAAGTTCTTCCAAAGACCAATCCCGTGTTGGCAGATCTGAGGTAAACCTTTGGTCTGACTATAGTTTTTTCCTTATTGTTCGTCTAGCTTCTCTGGGTTTGCTTTCCGTGAACGTTAAATTCCCACACACAGTTGGGCGTGTTAGTAAACAGAACATGGGTGCTATTTAGGCAGTTATAGACACCACCATACCCTTATTAGTACTGTATTTGAACGTTGGCGAGCCGCCGTGGTGTAGCAGCTAGATGCTCGCGTGAGTATCGGAAGATCGTGGGTTCGTGTCCTGGTGGAGCAAAACTTACCTTCGCCCTCAGGTCCACCCAGCCTTGGGTGGGTACCAGATAGAGCCCTGAGAGGTAAAGAAAACCGGTGAGATATTGACCATGGGTGGGTACCAGGTAAGTCCTGGGAGGTAAAGAAAACCGGTGAGATGTTGACCATATTACTCACCGGGTGCCGATTAGTCTATAAAATATGGGTCTAGTCCTAGGTGTCCAATATGCTTAAATAGGCTGAAGGGGGTCCTTTACTTGTTATTTCTAACTTTTTAGTTATTCAACTTTGCCCCCATAACAGTCGCTGGAAATTGTTTTGTACGATAAACCAGGTTTCCAGTCTCTTATGATGTCCTGTGCAAATTATCTACCCCATCTTGAGTACATCTGCACTTCTCTCTCTCCCTCTCTTTCTCTCTCTCTCTCTCTCTCTCTCTCTTTCTCTCTCTCTTTCTCTGTCTGTCTGTCTGTCTGTCTGTCTGTCTGTCTGTCTGTCTGTCTGTCTGTCTGTCTGTCTGTCTGTCTGTCTGTCTGTCTGTCTGTCTGTCTGTCTGTCTGTCTGTCTGTCTGTCTGTCTGTCTGCCTGTCCGTCCGTCCGTCCGTCCGTCCGTCCGTCCGTCCGTCTGTCTGTCTGTCTGTCTGTCTGTCTGTCTGTCTGTCTGTCTGTCTGTCTGTCTGTCCGTCCGTCCGTCCGTCCGTCCGTCCGTCCGTCCGTCCGTCCGTCCGTCCGTCTGTCCGTCTGTCCGTCTGTCCGTCTGTCTGTCTGTCTGTCTGTCTGTCTGTCTGTCTGTCTGTCTGTCTGTCTGTCTGTCTCTTTTTCTCTTTCTCTCTCTCTCTCTCTCTCTCTCTCTCTCTCTCTCTCTCTCTCTCTCTCTCTCTCTCTCTCTCTCTCTCTCTCTCTCTCTTGTGAGCTAAGCTAAAACTTGCGTTTTTAGTTTATCATAAAGTGAAGACACTCAATAAAATATGAATGTTGAATTGAGAATCAACGTCAAGAAAAGTCTACCACAATTATAGCATGGGATTTCAGGATCGTTGTTGTTAATATTTGTGTTTAGCCTGTTTCTTCTCAGACGTTCAGCGCTCCCTTTCTGCTATTATTTCCTCCTTCATTCTCATTTTCTTCCCAGCTGTGCCTCCTCCACACAGCACTGTCCATGGCATTTGGTTCCTACTAGTCCACCTCAACGCCTGTATGCCCGGCTCTCTAGCGTAGTTGGCTAAACCGGACTGCGCGGTGAGCGGAATGAACTCCTTGTTGTCCGGGTTCACTCCCGGGGGTAGGCAGAAAAGCCACATTTATCCCAGATTTAAGGTATTTACAATGGAATCAAGGCCGACAGGTTGCGATATCCATAATACTGAGTCTAAGGGTTAACACCTCATGGCTTCTGGATACTAAAACAAACAAACAATGCCTGTATCAGTCATATCCCCCTTTATATCTTAGCAGAGGTCGGCCTCGACATCTTCTACCTGTTTTTAATTTACCACGGGTGACCTAGGAACTAATGTCATTTTGGAAAAAGTCCGGCTCCGCCAGGACCCGAACCTACATCCTTCTGATCCACAGGCGAGCGTCTAGCCGCTAGACCACAGTGACTCCCAGTTGATATAGTAGGGGAACTTTAAGTAAAGCAACGTCTAAGCAAGTGCGTAATGTCCTTGCAATGACATTTTATTTTTAAATGTTTGAAATTCACCATTATTATCAGTTTATTCTCAACTGAAACTAAATCACATGACATTGTCAAGGGCTCTTGAGGCAGCGTGGTCTCGGGGTATGGTGTCCGCCTCAAGTGCTAGAGGTGCCGGGTTCAATCCCCGGTAAGGCCTGTGATGTTTTCAGGTGGATTTGGACTTCTATTAATTCTCCCTGGTCTCTGGGTAGTGAGATCGGACGCCCGTGTGCATTGTTGCGCAAGTTAAAAAAAATTTCATTGGCAGTTGGAAATCGAAAAGAATAGCCTGACAAAATTTGGAGTTAAAAATCTACCCCAAGTGATTCAGAATCCTCGCCGGTGCTACAGAGCCTGTGCACTGTGCTGAGCTTCTTCGGACTCAGACTTGAGTTAGAAATACAAGGGAGCACTTATGGGTTACTACCCGTGTGCCATGATGTTGATCCGTTGTTCAGACCTCAAGCCTCAAAATGCCAAGGATGGCCTGTTCGCTGCCAGCCATTAATTAAAAGCTAGTGGCGGCAGATTCTGCTTTGATTTAATTTTATTTCTTTTTTTTTTTCTTTTAATTTCATTCAATTTGACCGTTTTGTTTTCGTAGAGCTCCTTGATAGCGCACCGGTTGGGAACCGCTGATTTAGTTTTATTGTCGATTCACATATATTTCAATGTGTTTCTGTTTAACAGAACCCACTGCTTGATGGGGCACTTCCATCCACGTATACCGTACACAGTAGGGATTCGTTAAAGGATGAGTATGGCAGGAGCATGTACAGATCGAAACGTGGGGTAAGTGAATCTAGGAGTGATTGTGTGCGTGTGTACACATGCACGTGTTTATATATGTGTGTCTATGTGTGCCCGTGCGTGTTTGCGGACATGCGTGTGTGTGCGAATGTGTCAGTGCATACATGATGTACGAAGTCTTTCTTATATATCTATATATATTATCACTTAAAAAAAAAACAATTAATCATATTTACTCTACATTACGGTTATTCTATTTCCTTCCATTTGTCACTGATCACTGATGATTAATTTCCATATTTACTTCATCAATGTTGCGCTCGCCTAGGGATCGGAAGGTCGTGGGTTTGTTTCCTGACGGGCGCCGGACTTTTAAAAAAAAAATGACTTTGGCTCCCATATCGACCCAACCTTGAGTGGGTACCAGTTGCAGCCCTGTAAAATAAAGGAGGCCGGCGTTATGCTGACCACATCACCCACCAAGTGCCGTTTGGTCTATAAAATATAGGTCTAGCCCTATGTACACACTACGCCTGAAAGGCGTGGAAAAGGGTGTCGCTGTGTGTTTATCGCTTGTGTCATGTCCTGGTGAATAAAATTTACCTAACTGTGAAGTTGTAAATTATGAAATCATAGGGGTCTGCGAAATCTTAGACCATATGGAAAAAAAAAATCGGGTTGATCCGCTAGGAGTTTTCAGGGTATTTGTTAATTTTTGCGATCATGACTTTTTGATCGATCTATATATGTTTTTTTTTTTTTTAATATCTAGAAACCATGAGTTGTTAACCCTCGGCTAGGTACTATGGATATCGCAACCCTTCGGCCTTGATTCCATGATAGGTACCGTAAATCTGGGAGAAAATGTGGCTTTTCTGCCTTCCCCCGGGAGTAAACCCGGACCACAAGGAGTTCGTCACCCAGTCACCGCGCAGTCCGGTTTAGCCAACTACGCTAGAGAGTCGGGCAAATATTTAAAAACTTTAGTGGAGATGCCGGGGATTGAACCCGGGGCCTTTCACATGCAAAGCGAACGCTCTATCACTGAGCTATATCCCCGAATGATCGATCTAAATAAAGCACTGGGGAATCCTGAAATCGTAAATTACATTCGTTAACCTCTAAGAGAGATAAGCTGTCGCCTAACCACGTACAGAAGCTATCTTTTAAAGAAACTGTTTACATCAGTTTTTTTTTTTTTTTTATATCATACTTTTTATCAGTCACGGCGCCTTTTTTTAATTGAAATGTTTCCAATGCGCCCTAACCTAAGATAAAGAATGAATTTTCGTATGTAAGAGATAGAAAAAAAAAACTTCTGTATCTTAGAATATTTCGCTGCGCCCCATTGGAAGAGGTCGCGGCTTCACGGGGCGCCGCGGTGCACAGTTTAGGAATCATTGGTTTACACATTTCATATAAATTCTTCTTCTTCGGTCGTTTGATTGAATTAGATTATCTGTATATGCAATGCTGTGTCTAGTATGAACTTTACTGTCTTTTGTAATTCACTCAGCGATCAGTAAGGTTTAGCTTGCAACGGTGTTTCGCTTGGCTAGACGTTTTTCCTTGATGGACAGTCGGACAGTCTTGGAGGACGTGATCTGTTGCCTCAGGTGCCAATACAACACGTGCACATGGCTAATTCGCCAATCTTACATTTTGTGCACACGTGGCTGCGATGTCGATTATGTCCTGTTGTAACGTGTCCAAAATATGGCAATCATCTTGTGCCAGTTTTTGTGCTTTTCTGATTTATTTGATTACTCTCGAATTCTGTTCACAAGAGACTGCTACGTCAGATTATTATTCATTTGTACATTATTTCAAATATTACATATTTATATATGTATATATTTATGTATGTATATGTATATATATATATATATATATATATATATATATATATATATATATATATATATATATATATATATATATATATAAAAGGGCTGTACCGAATATTCGCTTTGTATTCGCTTCGGGGCCGAATAGTGGACCTAATAACTTTTCGGTATTCGGCCGAATATTTGCGGTCGAGCCGAATACGAATAGTGGTTACCTTACACCCGTTTCTGGACTGGTGGAAAATAAACATATCAAGATTTCCCACGTTAGTTCATACTGTCAACGCGTTATCTTTGTGCACCACCTACGAGCGTACCAAGTGAACGTCTGTTTAGTACAGCTGGAAATACCTTCAGTGAGACAAGAAGCTGCCATAATGCTGACAATAAGAACGATTTTTTTGGGGGGAATGGGGTGGGGGAGGTGGGGGGGGGGGGAGCTAATGCCGCTTTCATGGATTAACTAAGCTGTCAGTGACAATTTACAAGTTTAGTTACTTGTTATAAAACTAAGAATACTTTCATTCCTAGGTATTAGTTACCACAGACTGACTGACTGAAGGATGCAAAACATGAAATGTTTTTAAATGTTTACTATTCTGTACTAACTACATTTTGTGAAGTAAAATTTCAGCGTACATTTGACAATATGGATTTTTTTTTTTAGATCTACTTTATATCCGAAAGTGGAAGGATGGGCCTCAGTTTGAATAGTGGGAAGACAGAAGTTATGGTGGTATCAAAGAAAAAAATTATCCCTAAATGTGTAATAAAAGTCAATGGTTTTATTTTGGGACAAGTACAGAAATTTAGATATCTGGGCACATGGATAAAATCAGATGGAAGATGCATTACTGAAATAAGAAACAGAATAGGACAGGCAAAAACTGCATTTTATAAAATGAAGAACATCTTTTGCAAGCTATCTTTGTCATTGAAGATTAAAAAAAAAAATAATTCTTGCTTGCTACATAGTACATACATCCAGTTTTAACATACTGATGTTGTTAAGTCCTGGACAATTGGTAGGCATGCCAAACAATGTTTTGAGGCCTCATAGATGTGGTTTTACAGAACACAACTACTCACAGACATCAGAAGGAGACAGTCATCATTTTTCGGCCATGTTATAAGATGAGGGAAAATGGAACATGTGGTGACCACTAGAAAGATATGCGGAAGGAGGGATAGAGGAAGACAACGAGAGAAGAGTCATGGTTCTCTTTGAACAATCACATTGTCAAGTCGGACTTACCAGAAGTGAAAATGCGTGATAATGTATTGATCAGAACCAACGTTATGACGTTTCTCGGGGTGAGGTTCGATCGCAGCTTGTCATTCAGGGACCACGTTGACCATGTGATAACAAAAGCACGCAAAGGTCTATCTGCCATGAGGATTATGACTGCTTCCAATATTGAGCAAAGACTACTAATACTTCTATTCTACGGTCTGGTCCTTTCCCCCATTGAATACGCTCTGGCCATCCTCACTGTCAGTGCTACCCAGATTGAACGACTCGAAAAGGTGCAAAATGAAGCCATGCGCATTATTGTGGGATGTACAAGAGACACATCCTGTGGAGCAATGAGGTATCTACTTGACTTTCCAACAATGAACCAAAGGATCAGGATGTGGAGGGCTCGGGCATATCTCAAAATATGTGCTGATAAGAAACACCCACTGCATCAAGCGCTTTTTAGTGAAAAGGGCGACAGACTGAAGAGGGGGAAATCGTGGCTAGGTCGGGCAGAAGATGTTATTAGGGATTATGCAGCCTAACCGACATCATACCTGGTGCAGAATGGATACCTGTGCCTCAGGCGTTTATTTGTACATTTTCCTGTATTGTCACACTCAACAGGCGATGTAGAGAAGATAATCCTGTTGCTGTCAATGCAGAGGTCAACGCTCTCATCGGTGAAAATTCAGACGAAGCAGATGCAATAATCTATACAGACGGATCCGTTATACGCCAAAAAAGAAGCGCATGGGCATTTACAGCACGCTCAGCGGGCAAAAACAGTCAAAGAAGCCAACGGCGCCTTCTCCATGACAACCAGCAGCATGACGATGGAGGTGTTGGCAGTGACGCAAGCGCTTGCCTGACTTGAAACACAAAAATACACCCGCGTGTGTATACTCAGTGATTCAATGAGTATGATCCGGAGGGTTCAGGCAGGTTCAGTGCGAAGACAATGGCTTGAATCATTACAGAAGTCCACTGTGCGTGGAGTAACCTTTATTTTTGTTCCGGGAAACGCAGGCGTCGATGGAAATGAAATAGCTGATAGGTTTGGCTGGATCCGCTATCACTACCGACGGTCAGCCTATGGATCATGCTGATATTATCAATGCCCTCAGAGAAATGGGAAGGATAGAGGACTTTGGTGGCAGTGAATCCACATCACTCGCCAGAATGGCAGACTTGGGAATCAAGATCGGTACATCAAAAAACGAGACGCACACCAGACACGCCAGAAGACTTGTTAATCAACATAGAACTGGTACTATTAGCCATCGGACGTTGGGGTTCATACCGAGGGGAGGATCTGAGCACCTATGGACATGTCCGGAGTGCAATGAGGATAACCCAACTAACTAACTAACTAACTAACTAACTAACTAACTAACTAACTAACTAACTAACTAACTAACTAACTAACTAACTAACTAACTAACTAACTAACTAACTAACTAACTAACTAACGAGAGAAGATTCTTGACAGTTGGTGCATGGCATGAAGGTGTGTCAGCACACGAACTAATACATGCTGCAAGAGATCGCAGATTGTAGAGAGGCATAATCGCCCATGCCAGTCAGCAAAGCACCTGATGATGATGATTTACTATTCGTATTCGTATTCGGCCGAATAGTTGGTCCAGCTATTCGTATTCGGCCGAATAGTGAAAATCACTATTCGGTACAGCCTTAATATATATATATATATATATATATATATATATATATATATATATATATATATATATATATATATATATATATATATATATATATATATCTTGTCATTCCTCTGTGGGATGCAATTTTTCGTTATTTGAA